GTTTTCTAATGCTTCTTCTTCCCTCGATTTTCAGGCTGTTCGTATTTCCGTTGGATCCTGTGAGCGCGCACTTAAGATGCTTAGTGATCGCTTCATTGAGCTTATCAAGACAGATATTCAAAATAAAGTAAGTATTAATTAACTCCTTTCTTATTCTAAGAATCCAAACTTTTATTATCGCTTGCAAATACTTTGGTTATCTTGCCGCATTTACTTAACTCTATAAGAATCCTTGAATTTTGAATGCCTCGTTGCATTATATAAACTAGGTTTGGCTTCCCTCTATTTTGTAGACTGAATCTCATGAGGAAACTTCTATTGAGGATAAGGAAGAGTCTGGGCAGCCTGCTATTTCATCTATGGTTGGTGAGACCACTCGTGTCCTTCGGGGCGTAGTGCGCATTGGTTTGCTGGGCAAGAGTCTTCTTTTAACAGGTGAACGCCAACTCGATTTGGTACTAATGTGCTCCTCAAGGCCGACGGTTGAGCTTGTGCAAGCGGTGGCGGACCGTCTGTCTGAACAGCTTAAGGTAAGCAAACCATTATTTTTAACCATCCTTATATCATACTCATACATTTATTGATTTCCTTTGCTTCTATATGTTTATAAGCTACTATAAATGTTCTAAAAGCTGTTTCCTGCTGCCAAGAAAAATTCGTATTTTACCCCTCTATTCCATGTCCTGCCAAATTGAAACTATTATAACCAAGTCAAATATCGTTAGTTTGATCTCATTTTCGCTTGGTTGTGTCCTCAGATTTCGGAGATCGTACCCCATACTAGCCCATTTTTGTCTGAAGCCAACTGTTAACTGGATAAATGTTTTCTTATTTCTTTGGCACCGTAGATAACATTGTTGTTGTAATTATCGGTGAAGTTTAAACGATTCTATACATTCGAATGAGATTCCAACTAAACTAAAACCCACCCGCACTGAAAACAAATACAGATATTTTGGCGGCACTAAAAAAAATTTTTATATTTACTTGTTTCAACCTAATTGCCGGTGTCATTTGAGTACTATCTCTATTTATGTCTTGTGACGTCTTAGTACGTGTTTAACCTTGTATTTTTCCCCAGACATCTTTTTCTTTCCTAATTATCCTATCCTATATTCGAATTAAGTAGATGAGTTCATCTCTAATGGCAATTTTAAGACATTTTGCCTAAAGGCTTAAATAGTCAATTTTAGTTTTGCATCGCCAACATTCCCACTACAGTATATGAGGTAGAAGAGACCTGGCTTGGCTTGTTATTCACTTCTCCTCTGTGATTAATTAGAACCCATGACTGTGGCATAGTGACGTCGAAATTCTACGCTACGCTACACGAGTTCGATTATCTGATGAGACCTAGACGAAAGTACAATCCACCCCAAGTAAGAATATCTTTTTAGAAGTGAAACTCATTGACATCACGAGATCTCATATCATTGTCAAAAAATGCATCCATTTATTCTACACTTTATGCCTCATAAGGTCAATACAGCTCTTATTTATTTTATTCCCTCCAGATGAACTTAATTCATGCCACCACAGTTCAAACCCGGCTTTATCCAGCTTGTCTTCGTAGGTATGATATTTCCACAAACAACCCAGATTTATTGGAAATAATCAATCCGTCCTTATCGACCTCAACATTGTTTAGTATGCATGCCTCTATGTCTGGTCGTTATTGCTGGGATTATCAATTTATCACAATTCTTAGTATGTGTTTAAGTCTACGAAGACCAGTCTATACAAATCGTTTCTATATAAGTATTAACAACTACATAAGGCTCTAAACAAACAGGCAAGTTGACTAGGATCTGTCTAGTTATAAGATAATTTTGTCATTCTATTAAATGCTATTCTTTGCAATATATATAATAACTGATCTTATATAATAGACGTAATCTGTTGGTGTAATTTGGTTGAGGTTTTTCTTGCATTAAATGGAATAGCCCTAAAGTGTTTCCTTTCATCCTATTTGATAATACTCTAAAATAATTTTTAATTAGTCCCACTGGGTAGTTGTTATCAGCCTTTATCGCCTTAATTCCTGGCCTCTAATTTACATATGCAAGATAGGCATAGATTTATGACTAATACTTTAGTTCCTTATGTAGAGAAATTATATTTGGCCATTCTTATCTTCGTGATTTAATGAAATATAGTAAAACTTGTACTCTGATGATGGTGTTCGTCACATGACGAACATAAGCCCAGCAAGGATCTGCGGAGTCGCAGGACGGCGGACTGACAAGTTATTCGCAAAACCTAGTCACAGCTCCGAGGCTGACTTACGGATCCCATCGACTTGTCTTTTCAAATGAACTTAAGGACAGAAGATATGAAGACCAAGTTGGTGTGGCCTTTTGTGTGTTCGCAGTCTCCTTTCGTTGTATAGAAGTTATTTGACCTTGTTTTCGCAATTTGGTCATATTGGTAGGTACTTATAGGAACGCACCTTGTCCTGAGTCCATAATTATTTCCAAAGTCGGAATGTGGATGTAGTACATTCCAAGATGTTTCGCTGGCATCGTCAGTGAGTTTTACCACTCGTAGGACCATATTACAACTCGTTAAAGAGATAAATGAAGCCGATCCTTTGACCAAACGTGTGCTAAACAGTTATGGTATTTCCCATTCTGCCCTGGCCTATTCACATTTCCTATATCCTCCAATCACGCCTTCACTGTC